ATCATTGCGACCACTTGCGTACGCTTGCATTGCGAGTCGGTATGAGTTCGCCCTGCGCCCATGCAATCTTATATTAAGTCTCATGCGCGACGCCCACTCAATTTCCGTATTGGGAAGTTATGGGACGGCTACCGAGGGGCTAGGAGCGTTGTCGCGTTGTTCGCATAGTGCCCGCGTTGTTCGTGTTGTGGCACGTTGTATATGCGTGTGTATATGCGCGTGTTTTATTTTTGTGTTCGCAGCGTGGTGTGCGGGATGCATCCTAGTCGACCAACGACGGGCCGCGCCTGGGACTTCAGCCCCCCAAGACGTCGGTTCGCGTGCGGGTCCAATAGGCGTACTACCGCGCGTATCCCCTATGCTACAGCGAACGAGAAACGCCCTCGACTGGTCCACCTCTGCGATTGCAACTGATTAGCTTTCGTATTGTGGACTAGTAGCTCGGCGGGGATACGCCCACCGAAGGGAGGTGACAGCTCCCGTAAGGTGGAGGTAAGTTGTGCCTCGCGTAGGCCCTATCCTGTCGTAGGGGCTCGCGAGAGGTATGGCTGGCGCACTCGGCTGGAGCGGCCTAAGGAAGCTCCATTGGCGTGTTATAACGAGGTAGATCCAACTCCTGCGTGACGCGGCCGAGAGGGTCCCGCGCCGCCGCATGCAGTGTCGGGCCGTTGCGCTCGACAGCGTACCACAATAGTGTACACTTAGCCACTTGTCGCACTCCCAACGAGCTACATAAGTCCTTTACACCGCGCATATCGTTTGAAGGACTGAACCGGGATCAGATCCGGAGGCTACCGCCCGGTACAAGGGAGTTTGCAATACAGCACGAGAAAGAGATAGCTACAGTCGTAGAGAACCTCAGGAAGGCCCAACACAAGATGATAGAACAAGCCAACAAACACCGTCGTCCATCACAGTTCCAAGTAGGCGACTTAGTCTGGGTCAAGTCAAAGGAGTTTGCTCCTGAGGAAAACATCTCGCAGAAGCTATTGCCTGCATATAGAGGACCGTGGGCAGTCCTTGAAGTCAAGGGCAGAGAGGATGGACCGTCCTACACGATAGAGATTCCGGCACACCTCCACACCTACCCAGTTTTCCATGCGTCAAAGTTGTAACCTTGTACTACAAGTCAACAGTTCCCCTCACGGAGGTCCATGATCCCTCCGGACATGGATGGAAGGTATGACATTGATCGCATAGTAGGTAAAGATGTGTTTAGAACAGGAGGTAGAGGTCGTCCACAGAAACAGTATCAAGTCAGATTCTCTTTTCAAGAACCCGAAGACGGCCGCTGGTTCACACGAACAGAGCTTCTAGAGACCGCTCCCGATGTAGTTCAAGCGTATGAGAGAGATAAGAAAGATAAAAGTCCTGCCTTGGACTGAAATATTCTCGGAGGACCTCGAATTTACGCCAGCGGGAGTGAAACGGTTTCCACCTTTGCAGTAGCAGATGCAAATCCCAGGGCTCGATCCCTAACCCTGTGCTCACCCGTGTACAGTAGTCAACCCTGTGTGTTTGAACCCGCGACCTGTGTCTTGGTAATTGACTGCTGTCTGTCGTAGGTCTAAGTAGTTGTCGGGTTTCGATCCATAGGTCTGTTGAGTAGGGGTCGTAGCTGTGTAGGGGTCAATAGTTATTGCGATTCTGAAAGGTCAAGGATGTAGCTGCTACAAGTCTGAAAGGTCGACGTTGTAGTCGCTACAGTTCCAAAAGGCCGAGTCCACAGACTTCCGGAAGGTCCGGAAGTGGCCTTTCGAGAGTTTTACACGTTAGGCCAGAGGCAAGTGGGCAAGAAGGCAGTCCAACTTTGTCGAGTCAGCGGTACCCAGTCCCAGTCGCACTTTGTCTAGTCAGCAAGTACCATGTGGGACTGTGTGCACCATGGGCACAGTGGAAAGGGGCAGACCAGCGACCAACATAAGTATAAATCAAGGGGCAGCGTCCAGCCATTCATTCATTTTGCGTGAGCCATGCGGAAGCGCTGCCCGAGCGTCTTGTGCGAGGTGGTCGGCCGCTGCCCGAAGTCGAAGTGGGCTGCAAGGAAGATAGAGCGGCCATTGCTGCTTGTAGCTAGTTGGTAGACGACGACCATATGTTGTATACTTCGATGAGTATGGGCAAAACCAAAGATCAACCAATATAGGATGAGCATGTATGCAGTGGAAGTCTGATAAACGAACTGACTCACATAGACTGACTCACATAGACTGACCTACATGGCATCACTCCACACGCATACAATCATGAGATGGTGGGGTCTGGGTCATTCATAGACGATACCCAGATCCCGTACACACATACACAGATGAAAGGTGGGAGGAGAGACGAAGGAGGTAGGAGGTAGATCACACCGATAGGTCACAAAGATAGAGTCTG